TGTGTGTGTGTGTGTGATTTTATCATTTGGGAGTTGTAGTTGATGGGATTTATAGTTAACCTACAATCAAAGAGCTTTCTGAATCCCACTAGTGATGAAATTGAGCCAAAATTGGCACACAGAACTCCCATGACCAACAGAAAATATTGGAAGGGATTGGTGGGCACTGACTTGAGTTTTGGAGTTGTAGTTCACCTACATCCAGAGAGCACTGTGGACTCAAACAATGATGGATCTGGACCAAACTTGGCATGAATACTCAATATGCCCAAATGTGAACACTGGTGGAGTCTGGGGAAAACAGACCTTGACATTTGGTTGTTGTAGTTGCTGGGATTTATAGTTCACCTACAATCAAAGGCATTCTGAACCCCACCAATGATAGAATTGGGCCAAACTTCCCACACAGGACCCCCATGGCCAACAGAAAATACTGTGTTTTCTTGTGGTCTTTGGTGACCCCTCTTAACACCCCTTTGCGAACCTCCCAGGGGTCCCCACCCCAGGTTGAGAGCCATAAGTGCATTCATAACATCCATAGCCAACAGCTAGCTACATCTGGGAATGTATCAAATGAAGATATCTCTGATCCACATTTTGCCTAAAAACCAGCTAATCTTTGCCAACAACAGATAATGCCAACTTTCTTTCTGGTTTTGCTCTTCTGCCTACAATGGAAAGCTGTTGCAGTTAGCAGAATTCCCCATCAGTTCATTTCCATGTTGAGTTGAGAGAGACAGCGAAATGCCGTGACAGTCATGCTTAATCTAATGTGCAACTCCCTAAATCATTTTTTCCACCCTTCTGCTGAAAAGTTTTCTATATCGCTGAACCCAAGGAGTTTCTAATGTTATACTTGTTGATAGTTTTAAGTTAAGGAGTCTCAGATATCACTTTTACTTTCTCGTTTATTTTCTTTCTCTATAAATACATGCACATTGCAAATAATATCACAATAGGGTTGATGTGAGTTTCCTGGGCTGTATGGCCATGGTCCAGAATTCTGGAACATGGCCATACAACCTGGAAAAGTCACCGCAACCCATTGATTCCAGCCATGAGAGATTCGACAACATGGTATCATAGTATCTCAAACATTACAGCTCAAGAAAAGGTCAGCTTCCTTCTCAGAGATGTTACTATTTCCTACAATGTTTCCACCAACATTCTCCCATTCAGCTCTATATACACCAGCAGTGATACAGTGATGAAATGCATACTGATTAGCAATACCATCACTATAAAACCATCCTGAAATTTCTTTTCCCATTTTATTTCCAGCTTTACTTGTGCCAAAACTGCTGAGAACCAAACCTGCTGCTGTTTCTCTTCCATCCCAACTTCAACTTATGATGGCACTATGAATGAGAGACCTCCAAGAAACCCTGATCATCAACTATCCTGCTCAGGCCTTGAAAACTCAAGGCTTTTGTTGAATCAAGCCATGTATAATCTTCCTCTTTGCTTATTGTCTTCCAATTTGAAGAGTGTCCTATCAGCCAAAGATGAAGATGTAATAACCTTCAAGGTGAGTACACTCAACACACTAACGTAGATAAACCTCTCCTTTAGACTGAAACATTTATCAAACCAGGTCTTTGGCAAACTGTTAATGAGCATTAGCTCCACTTTCTATCTTTACTTATTGTTAATTATTTTCAAGCCAACTTTGACTTATCACAAATCTACGAATGAGAGACCTATGGGAAGTCCTAGTCATTAAATTGGATCTTGCAAGTAGAGGGTCATGGCTTCCTTGATTCATTTGTCTATACCAGGTGTCTATACCAGGGCTTCCCAAGCATTTCCACTAGTGGCTCTTTTTGGCCCAAAAAATCTGGGTATATAGATAGATAAAATAAGTACAAAATCACATATTTACTGAAAACCAAGTAGCATTTTCAAGGCTTTCTAAACAAGCAGATTCTTTTTCATGAAGTACAACTGAAGCATTTTCTGCAGAGTCCACTGTAAATGCTGCACAACAGATTCATGTAAATGTCTAAATCAGCTGCTAGGCAATGTTCAGAAACCTTTTAATGATGCCAATGTTTTGGCATCCCAGCATTGAGCTAAAGTGACCATTTGTTTAAGAAGCAGTGGTCTATACTCTGTATTTTGGGGCCTCCGTCCCACATATTCCTTGTTCTGCGAAATTCTAATCTATCCAGCATTTCTCTGTTCGTGTGTTATAGTAATCACAGTGTGAGAGTAGGAACAGGAATAACCAGGTACAAAAAAAAGCATTCAAACATAAAACTTCCTTGGTGACCTTAAACCAGTTACCATGTCATCAACTATCCTGCAATATAAGATTGTTGCAAAGATAGAAAAAGCATCATCTCCACTCATTGAGAGAGAGGAAGGTTATGAATGTGCAATAATAAAAATAAATACTATATATCATAAAAAGATTAACTATCAAAGGCTCCATCTAAACCGCCATATAATCCACTTTTTAAATGCATCATTTGGTAGGTGTATACTAGTGGTCCTTTAACCTGTGGGCTGTGGACCTCCAGTGGGCCGCGAGAATGTAAATATGGTCTGCGGGGCTCCTTCCTCTTTATTTGTTTATTTTATTTTATTTCTGCTCCTTTTGCCACTCCTTCCTTGTTGCTGACCAGCCCCGCCCCCTTGAATAGACCATTTCAGCTCTAGATAATTAAATATGGTTTTCTGCGGGCAAGCAGGTAGCAACTACTGGATGGCATACATTCTGTATCAGAAACTAGAGCTGATGTGGTCTATCCAATGCAATTTTCTGAATCAGCACTCCAAACCAAACGAATCTAAAGTTGACCAATAACTGATTTGTAACTCCTTTAGTAAGAATGTTGAAGAGTGGTCCCTGGTCAAAGTGGTCCCGGTCAAAAAAAAGGTTGGGAACCACTAGTGTAGACCAGTTTCAAAGTGTAGATGGGGCCTAAGTAGGTGAGTGGATGGTGTCTGAAGATTTCTGGACATCTAGTATATCTAGGTGAAATATGAGAGCTTTATAAAGGCATGATAAACCATCAATATGGGTACTTTTCTCTGCATACAATGTTATAGAATTGGATAAATATATATTTTTTAAAATCAAGTACTGGAAGTTTTACCCTTCTTGGATAGTGGGAAGCATTAAATTCATCTCCAATGCGCCGTAATTCCTGTGCAATCCATATTTCTGGCCGCATATCTTCAGGAATTGGCCGTGACTGCCATCTGGAAGCTGGATCAAAATGACATAAAACACACATTTTTTTTAAAAAAAAAAAGGTTCAGGAACTACAGCTCACTGGTCTTCAACACACACATCCAAAGAGTTTATTGCCATTTCCCCCCAAATTATAATAAGAAGAATAACTTAATGATGATAGAAAAGGAAGACTTTTCACTCAGCATATTACCAAGAAATCAGTATTTATGTTTTACTGAAGCTTTAGATTCCCCAGTTCTTTGCTTATTAAATTTTCTATTAATTTCCAGCATAAAAACTAAGAGATCTCTCATACTTTCAAATTAGATTTTTGACCATAGTACAGCAACACATGGAGCAAAACAAAATACATGGTCATTATCATATTCCTTTTCATATATTATGTATCCACCAGGGCATAAAAGTTATAACTGCTGGCTTTCCAAATTCAATTAGATTTTCTACACCCCAATTCAGCAACCTAGCCATGCATTTTAATCTAGTTTATACATCATACTATGTAAAGGTAAAGGTTTTCCCCTGACATTAAGTCCAGTTGTGTCCGACTTTGGAGGTTGGTGCTCATCTCCATTTCTAAGTCAAAGAGCCGCCGTTGTCAGTAGACACCTCCAAGGTAATGTGGCTGGCATGACTGCATGGAGTGCCATCACCTTCCCACAAAAGCGCTATCTATTGATTTCACATTTGCATGTTTTCGAACTGCTAGGTTGGCAGAAGCTGGGGCTAACAGCAGGAGCTTACTTTGCTCCCCAGATTCGAACCACTGACATTTCGGTCAGCAAGTTCAGCAGCTCAGTGGTTTAACCCATGCACACTAAGCTACCAGATATTTAGCTAAATAAACCAGGACGTGACAGAATAGCCTGGATTTTGCTCCTATGACACAGTGATTTTGCACTCAAACATTCCTTTCCATCATGTACAAACTGGAATTTATCAGAAATTCCCACAAAGGAGCCATTCAAACTCTAGTTTAAAGCTTACTTCTAGCTATGACAATATACAAATAGGTAACCCCTAGTTCAGGGTTCAAATGTTATAGGAAGCTACACTCACCTGCGAAATCCCAGATTGTTTTTGCTACATGCCTGTGGAACAGCAGGAAGAGGGCAGCTTGTTTACATCCTGGCTTCTGAAGACAGGAGTTTTGGCTTCCTCTAATGTGTGAATGTGGCTACTGGGATCTTAGCAACACAGCAAGAAACTCTAAAAGGGAGAAGTCATGTTCCAACAACAAACCTCATGTGGAAGAGAAAAATATCATTTGATAACCCTCCACAGAAGAGGAACTTCAACTACCAGAGATAGGTATGTTGGTTCACAAAGGGAGAAGTTTAAAGATTCTGAAAAAGATAACTATCCGTTGAAAAGGGGAGTGTTTCCTGACTTTGTCAAAGCCATTAACCCAAACAGAGGGACTTTCCTTTGTGGCTGAATTCTAGCACACAACGTCTACTAAAAACCCAATTAAGTTGGGTTCATCATGAATAAACAAACATCTCCTTGCAGTTAACTGTACTTAAATTTGCAAAGTTTACCTTCAACAACAGAACAAATTTGGATAGCCAAATGAACACATGTAATGCTCAGAACCAACTCTGCTTTGTTCAAACTTTGGCTACAACACTGGTCCACAGAAATGGATCATGAGCCTGTGAATATGGCAGGCTCTCCATACCCTCCTCCACATTTCAACATCTCAGCTCACTCCACCTTCCTCCACCATCAGTGAAACATGACTGCTTTTTGAACAGAAAAAAAAACTTTGTGGAACTTTTTTTCATGCAATTCCAATAGTATATAATTCTGTCTTTTGTATGAAGGTACTAAGACAAGCTATCTACATAAACACTCAAAATTGCCTGACCAGATAAGGATTGCATTTGCATATTTAATACAAAAAAACAGTAAAATTAATCAGCAATAGTAATCTATCTCTCTATATCTATATACACATAATAAAAGTGAAAAATGTGTATGTGGCTGTGTCCACTTACCCAGACAGCCTCCAACCTCTACAAACAAGCTTTAGTTCCAAGTGCTCAGAAGCTTTCAAAGGTACTCAACTACCATTTCAGGTTACAGCGAGTGTCATGGACATGTAGTCCAAACACTGTCAATGTCCTCCCCAAACACTATGACCCACCACCTAAGGAAGGCTTGCATTTGGGGAGAATTTCATCCTAGATTTGATGTGTTTCCTCCACCACAGTCAGGCATCCCAGGGTTCCTTGTGTGGAATTTGCATGACCCCACCCACTGCCTCTCCATTAACCCTTTCCTACCCTTTTCTATGACAAACAGCAAACAGAGAGGAATTGATCAGCAACTGAATAAACTGTAGAGGTTTGGGGGACTGACTCAACAGGATGGAAATTGTAGTTCACCCTGCATCAAGGCAGAGCACTGTGACCCCCTTTGATAATGGAACTGGACTGTCCTTTGCATATAGGAGTTGTAGTTCGCCCTTATCCAAAGAGCACTGAACCCTGCTGGACCAAACTTGGTACACACCCCCAACATGGCCAACTGTGCATTCGGGTCTGGTTTGGGGAATTTGACCCACAATTCTGGGAATTGTATTTCATCCACATCCTTATACATTTTCTAATGGGAGCATTCATAAAAAAACCAAATCAAAAACTGATTTTTTTCTAAATAGTGTTATTTTTCAAATAATCCGGACACCACCGGGTACCCAGGCTAGTACTAATATAAAGCTTCTGTACTACTATCAGGTACGGTGGTATAGTCTGAAATTAATATCCTGTGACCTCTAAAAAAGTCTCAACAGTTTGATAATAACTGTTATCAAACTGTTGTATCCTATGTTGTCCACAGGTGGAACTGATTCCCTCTTCTCCTTGAAAGGGTTTTGGGGACACAATGATAGAGGCTGAGGACAGGATAAAGACTCCCATTTCCCAGCCACAAATCTGCTCACCCAACATTGGATATAGCTCAGAAATTATTTGAAATCAAAATAGTACAACTTCCACAGGGATCTTGATAAGATTACCTTTGAGTACTTTTCAATTCTGTGAACCCAATCTGACTTTTCCCCTCTTCAACAAACATGAGTGGAGAATGTAAGCAAGCATAAATGCACCTCTTACACAGAATATTCTACAAACTTGGCACTGAGAGCACAAAGGAATCAGAGGGGAATACTCAGAGCTTCCAATCTCACAACAATCAAAAGCGAGCTGAGCATTGAAAACGTTAAGCAAATGCGCCTGGCTCCAATCTGAACGGAAAATGTATTTCAGAGCCAAACTAACATTTGCTTGGCTTACAGATGTATTGTTTTCACATTATAGTAGTGAAAGACCCTATCAGTTTTCAAAACAGAGTTTGCATCAGGTTCAATTTTAGTTGCTTTCCTAGCTGCTGAAATCCATTCAGCAGAGCCCTTCCAATACTGACTTACTCAGTTCCTAATGTTCCTATCATTTTTAAAGGAAGGAAGTGGAAAGCCAACCAACAAAACTGGTTTTGCCATAGACTACCCCAGGAGGAGAACTCCACAAATGGTTTGTTACAATAACGACCCCCCAAATTCTTTTGCCTGCCCAAATTAAGCCATGCTACTCTGATTTGATCATCACAAGAAATAGCGGGACAGACAGGATGACAACAAATATGCAAAATTAAAAGGACCACAAGCAAAACACGTCATCTTACACGTGGATCTGTTCTCAAAGGACTGTACTAAAGGTCCCAAGAGAAAGACAACACTTATCGCAATCACACTGATGCCAACAGGTGACCAAAATGTATTTCCTAAGCTGCCATACCAGGCAGATAGGATCTATTTTACTGGGCTGTTGAAGGTTTTTCAGGCTACATGGCAATGTTTTAGAAGCATTCTCTCCTGACGTTTCACCTGCATCTATGGCAGACATCTCAGAGGTTGTGACGATCTATTTTACTCAACGAGCAGCTTATCTTAAGAAAATCCCAGGCTACAAATGCCATTCAATCAATTTCCAATTTTCGCTACAGTGTGTAGGTTACACATACCACATCAACATATAGTACCAGTCAAAACATTTTGATGCCTAGGGTAGAAAATTCAATTGTGAGAGTTGCCAGGTATTAAACAGAACCACAAATGTGTTAAAAAGGGTATCTAAGCAGAATTGATCTCACAGTTAACTTTGGCCAAAAATAAGCACCCCTTCTGACAGTAGGAACATGCCTCAATCGCCTGACAAAGACAACACTGGATGAGTTCGGTCAAGCAGCCCTCCAGTATGTTTGAAAGGTAAAGGTAAAGTTTCTCCCCTGAAATTAAGTCCAGTCATGTCCAACTCTGGGGTTTGGTGCTCATCTCCATTTCTAAGAGCTGGCATTTGAAACCTCCAAGGTCATGTGGCCAGCATGACTGCATAGAGCGCCATTACCTTCCCGCCAGAGCGGTACCTATTAATCTACTCACATTTGCATGTTTTCGAACTGCTAGGTTCGACAGAAGCTAGGATGACAGAAGTGCTAGTTTGACAGAAGCTGAGGCTAAGAACGGGAGCTCATGCCGCTCCCTGGATTCGAACCTGCAACCTTTCGGTCAACAAGTTCAGCAGCTCAGTGGTTTAACCCACTGCTCCACCGGGGCTCCCATGTTTGAAAATATAACTTAATGTTTGCAATTAAAATCAGTTTACACTGTTCTTTTGTAAGAGTCCAATATAGTACACATTTTCAGCGTTGAATTAGCTATTTCACAGCAGATGGATTCCGAGTTTGATGTTGTGTGTGCTCCAATGTACTTTGCTAGGTGTGAATACACCATGCCAGCATTTTACATGCATACCTAACTAAAATCTAGCCATTCAAGGATGGCAGCTTTTGAGACAAACATTGTTCCTGACTCTCCAGGACAATTCTACATTGGGAAGGCAGTAGAGTCTCGCTTATCCAACCTTCATTCATCCAACATTCCATATTTTTCAACGCAGTCTGCCTCCCACCCGGATTCACAACTGTTTCAATACATTGTGATGTTTTGGTAC